TTCATGAAAGTATTTACAGCTTTTAAATAATAGCCATCTAGCTCCCTGTGTTTTATGTAATTCACTTTATAAAAAGTTGATACAAGAATGTTTATGTTTAAGACCTTGAACCTCTCTAATCTAGCTTTGTTCTGTACTGAGAGAGCTCAATGGATAAAGCTTCTTTCTGTGTATTAGCTATATGGTTGAGTCATTTACAGTCATGAGCCTGTCTCCACATTTGTACAACAGCATGATAATGGAAAATGATAAGGTGTTGTGAGAGTTAAATAATAGGTGGTATATAAAACCTGCAGCTTAGTGCCTAGTACCTAACTTAGTGCCTAGTACCTACTATCAAGATGCCAGTTCTCGCCTGTTGTGAACTTCAGTGGTCCTGTAGAGCCTCTCACAGCATTCATGGTTTACACTTATTTCCACAGTCATCTTCCCTGATGCTGAGAGGGATGTGGTCATGCACCCCAGTCCCAGCTAACACTGTGAGGAAGGAAATGCTGGTCTGAGGTGCTGCCCCTTGCCCTCTGGGCAGCCTCTTCTTAGCTGCCCTCTCTGCCTGTCCCTGGGCATATACCCCAATCTCATAAGGTGTGTACTTTCATAGTGGCATGGATCCCCACAAAAGTACTGACCTAGGAAACCCAATGGCTGAGCTAGGAACCCCCCCTCTGGGTTATATTCTAATGGTCAGTTCTTGGAATTCCAACAGGTTCTTATCGTAGAAACTGCTAGTTTTTCCCCAAAGCCATTTTCCTCTTTTCCTACAGTAACTGAATATTTTTTCTTTTTTTTTTTTTTTGAGACAGAGTTTCACTCATGTTACCCAGGCTGGAGTGCAATGGCGCGATCTTGGCTCACCGCAACCTCCGCCTCCTGGGTTCAGGCAATTCTCCTGCTTCAGCCTCCTGAGTAGCTGGGATTACAGGCACACACCACCATGCCCAGCTAATTTTTTGTATTTTTAGTAGAGACGGGGTTTCACCATGTTGACCAGGATGGTCTCGATCTCTTGACCTCGTGATCCACCCGCCTCGGCCTCCCAAAGTGCTGGGATTACAGGCGTGAGCCACCGCGCCCGGCCAGTAACTGAATATTTATCTTGCCATCTGATCACCCAGATGAACACAACATGTCCAAGCCTCTCTTGCAGCTAGGTGTGGCTACATGACAATGGCATGGGAGTAAAGTGCCATGCTGCAGTTCCCGAGAATTTCCAGTAGAGGCAGCTTCTTCATCCCTTCTCCATCCTGCTACTTACAGCATGAATGTGACAGCTGGAGCTCCGTCTCCTCCGTCTCAGAGTGGGCGTTGATCTCAAATATGGAGCCACATTTGTTAGAACTCCGAGATAGACAGGCTGAGAGCCCTGAGGGCTCCCAGGTGCAAAGCTACCACACCAGCTCTGTACATCGTACTATGAAATGTTCATATGAGGGAAAGAGAGCAAAATTTCCACCTCCTTTAATCCTCTGTCATTTCATTTTACCATGACCAACAGCCAAATCTAATTTTAACTAATACAGTCCCAAAGACTCTAAAAATAGACGACCAGGCTTTTGACAGGAAGTGGGGAAGGGAAATGTTGACAGAAATATTAGGAAAAGTGGGTTAGAAAGTTGTCCAATTGAGTAGCATTAAGTGATTGCCCATTCAGCCTGTAGGTAGACTTCGCTTCCAGATCAGTGTACACATCAGTGTATTTCTGTGTAAACATCCCACAACCCTAGGACTGGAAGAGGTCCTGTGAGGTTTGGTGCACTCACATGTGCACTCCTGTTCCTTAAAACAGAAGATCATCGTTCCAAAATAAAGAACGTCTCTATTATGTTTTTAAAATCTATAGGAAAGCATATACCCTGAAGGTAGCTGAATTTTGACAGTTCCTATGAATCTGGGGTGAGAGGGGTTCAGTGGAGCCTTTTGCCTCCCAGCCTGTAGCACTCTTGGGTTGCCGTTCAGCACTGTTTGATGTGGTCCCAGAAGGAAGGCTCTGAGCCACATCCTTTCTCTGATGGGATTGTGATGCTTTCAGCTGCTTCTAAAATTACCCAGAATTACATAGGACAGGACAGAAAGTGACGTCAAGTTACAGTGGAAGACATTTGAAGAACTAACTAAACAAACCACAAAAGTACTGCTGGACATGCAGGTGGCCTGGAAGAAAGGAAGGGAGCACAGATCAGCTGGAACAGAAAAAGGAGAGCACCCAGCATCCTCCAGCAAAAGAGACCAACAACATCCCACAAAAGGAAACTGCTTAGGAAATACCAAGCCCAGGAGCATAGTCCCTTAAGCGTACCGTAGGCAGTGTAGGTAAGCAGCAGGGCAGCCCCATCTGTGTTCATTCTCCCTGCCTGGGCGTGGGAGTCTGCTGACCTTTACTGCCTGCAGCCCTTTGTCAGCATGACTGAGTTCATGTATTTAGACAGTTCTGAGATTTCTGCTGATTGCACATCTCATTTTCATCTGAGAAGTTGGCCGGGGAAATGGAGTGGGAGGTAGGTAGGAAAAGTAAGTCTGCTATATATTCCCCACACCCAAAATGTCTCTGCTGTTTACATGGGTTTATCCACTGAAACAAAGACTAGAAAGACATATATCAAATATTAATAATACTGTTGATATTCTGGGTGGTACAATAAGGGGTGATTTTAATTTTCTTTCTTTTATTTTTCCATATTTCCCTAATTTTCTGTGTTAAACACATGTCACTATTTTCATCAGAAAAAAATTTTTAAGTGAATGTTTTATTGAATTTGATGAGAAGAACTAGAACAAGAATGTCTTATGTTTCGCTGAATGTCTTGCACATTGGAGCTACTGTCTACACCACCATTTCTCTGCGAGCGCACCTTCTTCTCACTACATCGCATGAGACCTGGAAATGCAGGGGAACAGTAACAGACAGAAAAACACAATGGCTCTCTCCTTCTCTCCTTGGTGTGGTCAGTGGGAAGAGGCAAAGGAAGGGCTCTAGCACTGGTTCCTGACGCTGCAACCTGGATGTGGTGTTTCCTGCTGCTTTACTACTCCATGAAGTTAAAACAACAGTGACCAATTTGAACCATATCTTTGAAAATACAATGGTCAATAGCAGTATGTAATGTCTATAAATAGCCATTTTAATAAATGTGCTTGTTTTGTGAACACAAGTAACTTGATCTAATAATTACAGGTTCCAAAAGATCCACACAGGCCTAACTGGGGTGTAATCGGCAGTACACAATAAAATGCAGCTCAGCCATTGGAAAGAGCAGCGGAGCACCAAGACATATTGTTGGGTGAAAAAAGCAAGTTGCAGAAACATATCCAAAGAGTACGATAAATCATTTATAGAAAAATCTCAAACACAAACTTATATGTATGTTTTATGGGGACATACATATGCACGTAAATGCATTGAAAAGGCTCAAAGCAATAATAGTGTTTGCCTATAAGGAGGTGGAATGGGGACCAGGATGGGTGACAGGGAGTAGTTAAAAGGGAATTTAACTTTTCAGTAATGTTTCATTTTTTTACAAGGATAAGACATTTATTTATTACTTCTATGATTTAAGCTTAATTTTTAAAAACTCCTTAAAGAGAAAAATGGTAACTTGAGTGGAGAAACCTGGCAATCACCACTGGCTTAACCAAGTGAGCTAGATTAACATCAGTGGTGATGTCTTATTGATATCATGTTCCCAGGATAGGATGTGGTGAGGACACTTAGTCTCTGTGATATTCTTTTTCCTCTAAACCCATAACCCCAGTGTAACCACAAGAAAATATCAGAGGAACTCAAATCAGGCAAAGGCCTACAGGTTGCCAGGCCAGTACTCCTAAAGACTGTCAATGTCATGATAAACAAGAAAAGACTGAAGAGCTGCCACAGAGTGGAGGAGGCTGGGGAGGTGTGATGATTAAATGTCATGTGGTACCCTGGATAGGATCCTGGGGCAGAAAGAGAACGTTAATAGAAAAACCAGTGAAATCCAGATGAAGTCTAGTTTAGTTAACAGTAATGTACCAGTGTTGGTTACCTGAATATGACAAATGTATCACTACCATGTAAGATGTCAATAATATGAGAAATTGAGTAGGAGTATATGGGAACTCTTTGTACTGTCCTTGCAGCTTTTCTGTAAATCTCAAACTATTTCAAAATAAATTTTAAAAACTCCCTAAAGGAAAGTGGGGCCAGGCATAGTGAGTGGCTCATGCCCATAACCTAGCACTTTGGGAGGCTGAGGCA